AGGGAGGGAAGAAAAATATTTTGATATATGTGTATTTTTCATTCTAATTGGCATAAAACATGTAGAACTTTTAACATTACTTCAAAAAAAATGAGTCATGATTTTGTTTGTATAAAACTGTGTCTCACTGTGTATACATACATGTAAAAATATATGTAGAAATGTCAGAATGTCAGTGTTATCAGAGTGGTAGGATTTCAGGTGGTTCTTTCTTTTTCATGCTTATTATGCTTTAAGTTTTTAACCATGGACATGTATGATTATAATCAGACAAACCAATGAAGTTGTTTGAAAAAGGAAAGAAAGGTCACCATAAAAAGTGTTATCTTAGATATCTTTATTCACTTTTTAATATCTTCATATTCCTACCTGACAGGATGGTTATGTTTTTAATTAAAGGAAGAAATTTTCTTTAACATGGTGGTTATGTTGCAGAAGACCTTGTTGGAGGTTGAAAGAGATCTGAAAAATTCTAAACCTGCACCTAAGACTGAAACCAAAGGGAAGAGAATGGTAATCCAGGAAGTAGAAAACTCAGAGGATGAAGGTGGAAAGGACAGCAGAAGAAAACATGAAGACAACAGCGGAGATAAGAGTAAAACATCTTTTCTCTTTTGGTTATGCAAAAACCTCCCTTTTTATATGATGAGCTGGCTCAAATTTTCTCTTTCTATCAAAATTCTTAGTCTACCAAACTCTTTCTAGCTTTACCTTATAAATTCACAAGCAAGTTTTTTCTTTATGTTTTTCCTAATATAATCTTCCAAACCCATTTTTCTTCTTAACCTGGTACTCTTCTCTGGTGTTCAATTCCTGATTATCATGGTATACTGATAATATCAGTAATATTATCATATTATCCATGTACCAGCCATTTGCAAGTTAACCTTAACCTTAACCTTTCTCCTAGATGATTGTTCCGTATATATCTACTTGGTTGTAAACAAAATATGTTGCCTTCACAGGAGTATAGGACAAAGATGAATGCATTGTTGGGAAATTGCTACATGTGCCTCTCAAAAAAATTTTTTATATATGCAAAAGAAATAGGCATAATTTCACCTCTGGTATAACTTTTTTAAAAGAATCTAGACTAGGTAAACTTTTATCTTCATAATACAAAATAATGATAGTTACATCAGCTTTAAGGGGGAAGATCCACCTACTCCCTTGTGGGGGGTAGGGGGGGTGGGTGGGCGGCTCTACCCCCTTCTGAGAGTAGCCTCCCACCCCCCACCCCAGCATTCAAAGGGAAAGCAACAGTTTTGAAAATCATTCATGGACAGAACTCAACTTGGCAAGTAACTGACAGAATATTTTAATTTTGAAAGAGAAATATAAAATGTTCATTCAACTTAAAAAAGTAAAGAGGTAAACATTGTTATTTTTTCAGTGACAGAAATATAACATAAGATATATAGCTCAAGACAATATATGATCAGTGAAGACAGGGTAAAGACAAAGGGACCGAAAAAAAAGGAGGAAGAGACAAAAGGAAACAGAGTAAGAGCACCAGGGAGATAGGAAAAGAAGAGAGGGCATCAAAAGGATTAAAAAAAAAGGAGACATTAAATAGTTTTTCAAGGATTGAGACTCACCTTTCAGCCACTTTAAATAAATTCTGGCAGCAAATATTGTTCTACAGGTTTATATTCATCTAAAGGTGTCAAGCCAAGTGTCTTAAAATTAAAGGAGATCATTTAAAATCTTACGTGGGGGGACCCTGGGTGGCTTGGTCGATTAAGTGCCCAACTCTTGATTTCGGCTCAGGTCATGATCTCATGGTTCATGGTTTCGAGCCCTGTGTGGGGCTCTGGGCTTGCGGTGCAGCACCTGCTTGGGATTCTCTCTCTCCTTTTCTTTCTGCCCCTCCCCATCTCATGCTCATTCGCACTCTCTCTCAAAAATGAATAAATATTTAAAAACTCTTTTAAAAAATTTACATATAGTGAAAATGGAGTTTTTTGGTATGCAGTTCCAACATGTATATAATTTCATGTGACAGCCACCACCATCAGGATACAGAACAATTCCATCACACCAAAGACTCCTTGCTCTCCTTTTAGCCAAATTCTCCCCTCACCTCAAACCTTGGTAACCGATGATCTGTCATAATTTCTTCAAAAGTTTTTTTGGGGAGACAATACTATTTCTCCTTTCCCACAGGGACTGTTACGCCACAATTGTTAGACCACTTAGTATTGTCCCACAAGTCCTTGAGGCTTTTTTCCTTTTTTTTCTTACGATTGAAAAGTTTCTATTGATCTATATTCAAGTTCACTGATTTTTTTCTTCTTTGATCCCAAATCTACTGTTGCTCCCATTCAGTGAATTTTAAATTTTGGTTATTGTGGTTTTCCACTCTAAAATTTCCATTTTTTAAAAATCTTACATTTCTCTGCAAAGTTTTTAAGTCTTTCCATTTTGGGAGAGTTTGGCTTTATTTCTTGGACATGGTTATAATAGTCACTAAAAGTCTTTGAGTATTAACATCTGTGTTATCTGGGGTTTGGCATTACTTAATTGTCTTTTCCCCTTGCCAAATGTTAATATTTTCTCTCTTCCTCATTTGTTAAGTAATTGTGTACTGTATACTAGCAATTTTAAATATTATGTGGTTTTCAGTCTTGTTTAAATCTTATGGAGAATTTTTTTAAAGCAGTTAATCTGATTAGGTTAGGGTAACAGTTTTCCTACCCAACTTCTGTGGAATATGGGTTTTTTTTTAAGTTTATGTATTTATTTTGAGAGAGACAGAGACAGCACAGTGGGGGAAGGGCTGGGGGCTGGGGAGGGGAGAGAGAATCCCAAGCAGGCTCTGTGTTGCCAATGCAGAGCCCGATGTGGGGCTTGAACTCACAAAACTGTGAGATCGTGACCTGAGTCAAAACCAAGAGTCAGACACTTAACCAACTGAGCCACCCAGGCATTCCTGTGGAATATGGTTCTAATGTCAGTTTAGTTTCAAGACCTTTGCAATGCTATTTGGATCTGTCCCACCTGTACACAACTCTGTGACTAGCTGGGGTCTGGGCAGTGGTCTTCTCTTGTGATTCCGGTCTCAAAATTTTCAGAATGACGTTTAGGGTCACTTTATGCATATAGATCACCTGGAGGGTACGTCCAGTCCATATACAATTCTTTGCAATTGTTTTCTTGAGTTCTCTTCTCTCTGTGATTCTTCTCTACTCTTTCTGGTTTCCAATGGTTTTCCTTCCCATTCCTCTAGCTAGAAAGCCAGACTTTTAATTTCCCCATTCTACCGCACACTTCCCATGACTGTGTGCCTCCAGGACTAAACAGCAACAGGACAGAGAAGAAAAGCAATGGGGAAGAATGCTTGGGACACAGCTTCTCTGACCAGAGATAAGAGTTTAGGTACCTACTTGGCTGCTGCTGCCTCTGCAGCTGCTGCAGGATTGGCTGGGGGCTGGGACTGGATAGAAAGGAAAAAAGGAAAAACCAGGTTTTCCCCAACTCTCTCTCATAGGTGCCAGCTAACTTGTTGCTTTAGATAAACTAAATAGAGGGCTTCTCCTGAAGCTCTTTCTCCCCACACCCAGTGCAGCAGTTCTGGGTTTTAGATGGCCTTTGACCCAGGTTAGGAGATATCAGAGGAAAGAAAAAACAGAAACTCACTGCTGGTTTGGTGGTATTTCAGGTTCTAGTTCCTTTTCCCAACTGGGCTGCTACCATTTACTTTTCGGTGTCCTCGTGTGCCTGCTGCATCAATTCTGTTTCAGATTTTTAGTTATATTCAGTGGGAGAGATGGGTGGAGTGTGTTTACTCCATGTTGACAGGAGCTGCCTTTCTCATTACTAGTTTTTTT